AGATTCCATACTGTTGTGTTATGTTGCATATATCTTTTAAGTAGTGATCTATGATTTGTCTTTTGATTTTTACATCGGGGAACTCTGTTTTACATGGACTGATTCCGGGTTCAAATAAATTTACGAGTAAATTTTGACAAAATATGTGTTGTCCTCTATCAGTATCTGCGTCTACTATAAAAGGAAAGATTTCATCATCATCTGGAGTTTCTTCACCTGGGGTGTGCGTTGAACTCATTTTTTCGTTCGATTACTGTTAATATGTAATTATTAATGTGTCGAATTGGTTGATTCCAATTGTATAAATGTACTGGTTTGTGTTTGTACTGCTTTTTTATTCTTCTTTTTCCTCTTTGTGATGAATTTGAAGTTGTTTCTGAGTCAGAGAAATATAATTGATCGTGAAGTGGGCAATTTTTATCTATTGATTCTTTTAGTTTGTAAAGTTCGTCTAAACTGTTGGTTTCTGATTCTGAAAATGCGTTTCGATTTTTTGAAAATCTTTTTCGTGTTATTTGTCTTTGTTTAGTTATTATTTTTCTCCTTAGTGTTTGTCGTTTTGTTCGAATGTATCCAACTGTTTGTGTATGAGGTGTGATTACAAGGTCGTATTTTTTGTTATCTATTTCACAATTGTGTAAAATGATTGTTTGTTTATTTCCTAGGTTTTTAAATGACATAAGGTTTAGAATGACGGATGCAAAGGGTTGTTAAATGATTTCTATTTTCTTAAACTGTTAGTTCTTACGATTTTTTGGTTAGCTTAACCTGGGTCTATTTGTTCAGGGTTGGAGAGAAAAGTATATCGATTCCGAAGAATGATTTTTACTTTCTCGTGACTAGTATAAGCTAAGGTGTTAACTTACTTAATCTTACTTAGGGGTAGTGATTGTGTTCAAGGGTTGGAGAATAGTAAATCGATCCACAAGGTTCAGGTATAATTAGAACGCGAGTAGTTCGTTAGATACTATTTTAAACTTACTATGTCTAAGATTTATCCTGGGTCTGGTAAGAGGGGGGGTCAAGTGAAGGATGAATAACCGAAGTTCTTCACTGTTTATCCTAATTTGAATGATTAGTTTTGTTTAAAAATTTCTATTAGTCTTAGGTCTTTAGAAAGGGTTGGGTAGTGAATCGACGTTTGAGGTCGTTAGACACTAATTAAGTGGGTGGGGGAGAACAAAGTTGTTCTGTTTGATCCAAGGATAAGCCTTGATGATCAAATTTAAAATTTAATTAAGTAGAAAATGATTTAAGATCCAAGGATAAGCCTTGATGATCTGGTTTTAAAATTAAGTGAATTTAAGTTTTAATAAAGTTTTAAATGTGTGTAAAGGAAAGATTTAGTGTTTTATGATGTTAGTGAGTTGATGATTGCTGTTATGTTTTAGATGATGAAGCTGGAACAACAGGATGATTTATGATTACTAACCATTTATTGTCATGCTACTAATTTTTATTTTTGTTTTCCAATAAATATTTTTCAAACATGTTTTGTATAATACTGCAGAGTTTTAGGGAAACGATCTTAGATCTTTTTATCAATCGTTATTGTATAATATTAATTTTGTTTAGCGCCTGAAATGATTTTGAAGAGTAACTTCAAGGTTTTATGTTTGCAAATGGAAATCTAAATTCATTGCAAGTAGTATTCGAAATATAAAAGTTTGTTCTGGCTTTTGCCGAACTATCATATAACTATACGGCAAGTTTCTATTTGTCGTATGTCGTCTTTGGTTCGAGGTCTTCTTCCAATTCCGGGTAGTTCTATTGTGGTTCGGAATATTGGCTCTGATCTATTGAGTCGGAGAGACATTTCAATTAAATTATTGTCGTATAACATTTTGTAAATGTTTTTGTCTAATTTCTAATCTATTTTTGGTTAATTCTAATCTAATAAGGTCTTGTTCGAGACTTATGGTCGCACCAGATGAGTTAGGACCGAAGTGTAACTCATAGAGTAATTTCGGATAGGGTACACCGTCTGCTCGTCACGCTATCTTATTTTCGGCCGGATAGATTCGTGCAACTTCTTAGTCTAATACCGATCCTAATCTTACTCTTATACTATCTAGTCTCAGGTTGTTTAACTAGTCTCTGCTAGGCTCAATAGATCTAGGGTATACTGGTTTATTGCGGCTGCTGAAGTGCTCGGGAGAGTCCAACTAATTTCTAAGTTAAATTCAAATCTCTCTGGTGCTGAAATTACAAGTAACTTCAGCACTTACAAATAAGTGGGTTGTTAGTTAGATGGATCATGATTGGTTAATATTAAATACTTTACATTGGTAAAACATTTAATTTATCCAATCATAAAATATAGTTTAGATCAGGTTCCATATTTGTGCTCGGGGTGGGTTTTTTTCTTCAGACAAATTTCGACTTTTTAATTAGCCATTTTTGACGGAATTTTTATCATTCGAAAGGTATTGTTGTCTTGAGCTCAAATTTGAAAAGATATTTCACCTGTGATCATTTTTTGTAAAGTTATGGGGGTTTAAAGATTGCCATTTTTAAACCCCCAAAAGTCCCATCCCAAGGTTTTCTTTCCCCTTAACTTCAAGGATACCAAAAAAAAAAATTTCGATTCTCGCTCTGAGATGCCTGAAAACAGGCTTAATTCAGTCTTACGGCACTCTCTTCTTTATTTCACCAAGAATTCGAAACACATGCTGTTTTTAACAAGCACACAAGTTCTCTTCCTTTTATCACTTGATCAAAAACAAAGATCAGTACGTGAGAATCATCAAGGGATCTAAACAGCTGAATCCTTGACTGGATCCCACCATGTTTTTTTGCTGGGCTTCAAGAAAGCGTCTTTCAATGCCTTCCAAGCAATTTTTTATGGGGCTCTTATGTTAAGTCTGCTTTTTAAATATCAATTTCAGCATGCGAATTGGAAAAAAGCTCTCTTTATCCTTTTGATGAAAAATGCGGACTCATATTGGGCTCATATGTAATTGCACTGGTCCTTACAACAAAGCAAGATCTTAATTTGGGGTTCAGGTGCTTCCTTGATCAAAGGGGGAAAGATTCGCAAAATGTTCAATGTACCAATTTGTTTGAAGAAAGGGATTGCGCTAATGGCAAAGACGAGCTTTAAAGGTTTTTTCCCCTCCAAAAACGTGGAA